ATGGTACAACTGAGTGCTGTTCTGCAATGTCATTAATGATTTATCAATGTTTTTGCTGCTTTAAGAATTCCAGAGACATACCTTCAGATAGTCTTGCCAGAAAGCTAACACCAAATCATTAAATTCACAGCACAAAAAGAGAATATTTTCACCCATCACTCTTGTGCTGCTAACACAGGGCTGCTGCATTTTCTTTGTCTTTTGTCTTTCAACTTACATCATTAACTTTTCACAGATGAATAAGATTGGGGTACAAAATACAGCAAAGAATCACAGACTTTTAAGCTATTTTTAAATGAAGTAGAAATGAAGAAAATAAAATATTAACTAAAATTAGTAGAGTGTAGCTTAGAGATGGGGCTTAACTGGACTCTGGAGGAATCTGAAAATGTAAATTAGACAGAGCAGAGCTTGCGTAACTAGACTTCATAGGGTAGACAGATTGAGCAGAAACACTGTAAAATTCACTGCTGCTGCAGCTCAGTCTGGTTTAGGAGTTCAAAAGCCTTTGGAGTGTATTTCAGTATCTTTATTGACTGTGCATCTGTTATTTAGGACTTATTTTTCATCCAGCATTTCATCCTTTCTTTCATATTCAAAAAAAGGGAAAGTGGCACATGAAGAAAGAGCAGATCCAACCATGCCATGTGAAAGAACAGACAGAGGCATTTTTGAATAGTTAAGGGTTGATTTTCCCTTCTGACTGGTGGATATTGCTGGTCCATGCAATTGTTACTAACTTGCTCAAGAACAGTCTCTTAAATATAAGCAAAGTAAAGTCACCATATTCCTTCCATAGAAGAGTCCTTCATGGTAACCTCAACCGTGCAGGAATTGAAGACACTTGCTGTCTGCATCACTCTGCATTTCAAACCAGCTGTCCAGCTAACTAAACTAACTGACCCTCTTTAAATAAGTAGATCAGATAGCAGTAGCAAACTGATAGTAATTTGTTTACCTCTGGCAGAATGGAGGGAAATGGTGTTCTGCTGCAGCTGATTAAAGGAACCATTTTGCACAAGGAGCAACTGCAACAAGCAATGCTACCAGAGAAAGATGGAGTCAGCTTCAGAGGTACACTGGGGTTTTGGACTGTGGTCTGAGGATAGGAAGTTACATTAAGAGGATGATGCTAGGGTCCTGATGAATTAAGGAATTATGTAATAAATTTGAAATCAAATACAAAATAAGGCAAAGATTCTATATTGACGCAAATATTACAATTCTGCGTTCTTCACTGTCTGCAAGTACACATTAGTTTTGACCATTTGTACTGATGTAAGACCAATCTAAAATGAGCCATAGACTGTTTGTTTGATTCAAAATGATCCTTACATATATGATTGTGTAAGTGAAATTATAGATTATATGTAAAGCTTATTGAGCATTGTAAAAATGGGACACAGCCAATCCGAACACATGATCTTCCAGCACTATGATCTATCAACTTGCTATAACTTCATTAAGTGGAAAAAGATGTTCATGTTTTAAATGCTCTATTGATATCACCTTTTTATTACAAGCAAGCAGTAACTCCAAGAACATCACAAATAAAAATGTAGCAGAAAATTAACTCTCTCTGTATTGAAGTCTTGTGGCTCATGTCCCTACCTCTGAGCCAGAAGCTTCATGATTCAAATCTCTCTCCAAGACTAAAATAAACACAAAGAACTGTGGAATCTGGAATTTTGAAGAAAACCAGAGTGCTGGAGAAACTCAGCCAGTTGTGCAGCATCTGTAAAGGGAAAACAGAGTTAACATTTTGGGTCCAGTGACCCTTTGTTAGAACTTTGCAGAGATCCTTTATCAGAACTTTGCTGACACCGCTCTACTTATCTGAAGATAGTTTATTACAAAGCAAAAGATAGGGCAGCACTGAAATTGAAAGAAATAAAAACTCATCACAAATCATTCTGTTAAGGTCCCTACATTTCTACATCTGTTTCAATCAAAAATACTCCATTTAAAGACAAAGCATCTGAAAGTTGAGTTGAATTACAGCTAAGCATTAGCTTTCTGATCTCATTTGGTCTTGCAATCAATTCACAAGTAAAGGGAGGCAAATTCCTCAAACTTATTTACAAAATTTTGGCATTCAAACTTGCTTGCAAACATTAAATTGAACAGTAAACAGGATAAGAGCAAGATGTATAATCACTAATAGATGTATTAGAGATATTTTCTCGTTGTGTAGTTGTTTAGAATGTATTCTAGAAATAAAATGACAAATAAACAGTACAAACCAAGGTTCTGCTGTTTGGTCCATGCTTCAGAAAATGCAGTTAATCTTGCATTGCACGATTCAGCAATCTCTCAAACAAACACTTTTGCAGTATTAGTAATGACGTGAAAACTGTCTCCTCACTTACTGCGAACTTACTGGAATCATGAGAAAAATTGTACATCCCCCTGTCTAAGCCTCAGGGATTGACTGAAGCATTTACTTCATCTGAAAGTTGTCTGGAATTCATAACCCTGTTGTTTATACACATTCTCCAAAAGAAACAAAATTATCCCTCACATATAATACCAAGAAACTGTTTAAATGTTAAAGTTCTTCTTAAATATATTTAAAAACACCAATTTAATACTGTCTTAAATTCATTGCGCATTGATCACTGTGATAGTTCTAATTTATTTTAATACAGATGTTTTCTAGCTTGTGTAAGGCTCCAATGACAGTTGTAGTGATTGATCTCTGTGGTGCATTCAAAGCAAAGTTACAAACACCATTGCATGGGATTTCCATCTATTTGCATGTTAATTTTTATCCGTGATTTAAACTTGTTTGCATGTATAAAATATGTCAAAAAATCCCTTTTCTGAATTATGTTCTCCAGGGGTAAACAGAACAGCTTGATAGAGAACACCTAATAGTTGAGGGTGGGGGGCAGCATGGCGAGAGGTTTCTCTTGGTGATCAAAGGAAATCAGCAGTAGCAACTGAAAAACTCAGAAGAAAGTCTAAGACTTATTGATGCACATATTGATGGAATCGAGCAAGCCAACTGAAGAGTTTTAAGGAGACAGTTAATAGCTGAGAGAGGGGTTATTTTTGCTTTTCAAATGGTCTTGGACTGTTGATTAGCATTGGAGGTGTAGATTAAAAACTGTTGCGTTCTAATTAGATCTACTGACAAAGTTAATTAATATGGGAGCCAAATGAGAATGACATCTGAAAATCGAGCAAGGATGACACCAGGACATTAAGTGGAGTGGCTGTGCAGATTGGCTGCTGCAGAAATACTATGGCAAATGGAGGCCAGGTAATTGACAATTGCAAAGTACATTGTTAGTGACTTGGAAGGAAATTTTAGAATGGATGCATCAGGAGGAAGAGGCTGGAAAATTGTAGGGGGTTTGTTTCAGGAGTGAAACAAGAAGAAATCAAAGAAGGACTTGTGATGGATACAATGGTAATATAGAAGTGACCATGAGTATGATAGCAATATTTATGTGGAGATTTAGGCAACACTTAGGAGCAGTGAAATCAAAAGACAGAAGTCAAAGTGAGTGAATTTGAGTTTGAAGTTACCAAAGACAAACTGTACAATAGATATGTCAGCACAAATTGAAATAGGACTTAGAGAGTACACAATAGAACATGGTTTTAAAGAAGAGGCAAGAGCATGGGGGAAAGTCTGGAATTCTCAAGGAAAAGGTAGGTGAGAGAAGAAGGAAGCAGACTGAAATGGAGATAAGGGCCACTCTGCCACAGTGGCAGTTTGGGCAGGGCAGATGATGGGATATACAGAGAAGCAGGGACGCTTTAATAAGAGGCAAGTTGTTACAAGCCATGAGCCACGTTTCCATCGAATCCAGAATTATTATGCAATTGTCCACTTCTTACGCATCCTAGCACGACTCGCAAAATGCACTGTGTATCTGATCCGTGAGAAAGGACAAAGTCTCACAAGGGTCAGGTATGCATTTCATAAGGATGCAAAAGTATGTCGGTTGGGATTTCTGAGCTAAGACAAAAATCCAGGCCAAAGTGCTCAAAATAAACCAGCAGTTATACATTTAAATGTTTTGTGTTCTCCAGGGGTGCTTGTCCCAGAAATACATCAGATGTAGATTTCCTCATCAGGTTTTCACCTAGCCAGGTGTTACATTTTCCAATACAAATGGAAAAATGCCAGATTTAGCCACAACTTCAGGTTCAAACTCCGTAAGAGTACTTAGAATCAGGTCAGTCCCTGCTTTACCTGTTTTCTCTGGTCTGGATCAGCTTCTAAAGCTGTCAATCAACTTTTGATTGTTTGCATATATTACGTATTTTAATAAGATACCTTTGGGAAAAAAAATCAAGTAACCAACCAATGATCGACAAACTGCATTGTTCAATAATATGGTGTGAAGGTGTACTTTTGATTGTTGCTTTAATGGAGTGGATTTTGCATTTTTTTGGTCATGAGTGTTAGGGATAGGTCTTCAGTTGAAAGTCCAGCAGACTATTCGTGGGTACAATAACAGCAATGCAGGAGCTAATTTTTAATGCAATACCCACTCTAGTGTTGAGCAGGAGTGTTTGTGGGGGAGGTGCCGGTGGACTAAAGATAAAAAAACACATACCATCTTGTCTTTGGTCAAGATAGGAAGATATGTTATCCGAAATATTAACCTAGAATACATATAACACACTCACAGACACACACACACATTTCACACTTCTGAGCAAAGTTTGAAGACTTGGCTCCTCGGATAACACCAGTTAGGAGTCAGGCTCCTGAAATCCCATTAAACCACTGCGTGAATGCCTCGTTCTTCTCCAAATCTAGAACTGTCATTGTAATCCCAACATAATTCCACACTATACTCTGTGAACCTGAGCTCATCCAAAACCCTGCTACCCGCATCCTAACTTGCTCCTAGTCTGGTTCATTCATCACCCTTATTGTCCTGCATTAGGTCCCAGCCTTGCAGCGTCTTAATTTTAATATTCTCACCCTGTTCTTCAAATTTCTTCATAACCTTGCTGTATTTGTAATCTCCCCCAACCTGACGAGATATCTGCATTCCTTTAATTCTGTCCTCTTGAGCATCCCCGAATTTCAGTGCTCTACCTGTAACTGCATAAGCTGTAAGATTTCAAATTCAGTTCCTAAACCTTTCCTGTAAAGGACTTTGGGATGTTTTACTATTTAAGGATGTTAAATAGGTGAAAATTGTGGTGGTGAATGCAAGTAATGTAAATGTAATTATGAGCAAGAGTGAAATGGGAAAGCAATCTTCAAAAATAAAAAAGGCAAGAATGCGAGATAACAAGGTGTAGAGCTGGATGAACACAGCAGGCCAAGCAGCATCGGAGGAGCAGGAAAGCTGATGTTTCAGGCCTAGACCCTTCTTCAGAAATGGGGGAGGGGAAGGGGATTCTGAAATAAATAGGGAGAGAGGGGAAGGCGGACAGAAGATGGATAAAGGAGAAGATAGGTGGACAGGAGACAGACAGGTCAAAGAGGCAGGGGTGGAGCCAGTAAAGGTCAGTGTAGGTGGGGAGTTAGGGAGGGGATAGATCAGTCCAGGGAGGACGGACACGTCAAGGGGGCGGGATGAGACCAATAGGTAGGAGATGGGGGTGGTGCTTGAGGTGGGAGGAGGGGATAGGTGGGAAGAAGGACAGGTTAGGGAGGCGGGGACAAGCTGGGCTGGTTGTAGGATGCGGTAGGGGGAGGGGAGATTTTGAAGCTTGTGAAGTCCACATTGATACCATTGGGCTGCAGGGTTCCCAAGCGAAACATGAGGTGCTGTTCCTGCAGCCTTCGGGTGGCATCGTTGTGGCACTGCAGGAGGCCCAGGATGGACATGTCGTCTGAGGAATGGGAGGGGGAGTTGAAATGGTTCGCAACTGGGAGGTGCAGTTGTTTGTTGCGAACCGAGCGTAGGTGTTCCGCAAAGCGGTCCCCGAGCCTCCGCTTGGTTTCCCCGATGTAGAGGAGGCCACATCTGGAACAGCGGATACAGTATACCACTTTAGCAGATGTGCAGGTGAACATCTGCTTGATGTGGAAGGTCTTCTTGGGGCCTGGGATGGGGGTGAGGGGGGAGGTGTAGGGGCAGGTGTAGCACTTCCTGCGGTTGCAGGGAAAAGTGCCGGGTGTGGTGGGGCTGGAGGGGAATGTGGAGTGGACAAGGGAGTCACGGAGAGAGTGGTCCCTCCAGAAAGCAGATTAGGGTGGGGAAGAAAAAATGTCTTTGGTGGTGGAGTCGGATTGCAGATGGCGGAAGTGTCGGAGGATGATGCGTTGGATCCGGAGGTTGGTGGGGTGGTACATAAGGACGAGGGGGATTCTGTTTTGGTTGTTATTGCGGGGAGGGGGTGTGAGGGATGAGTTGCGGGAAACACGGGTCGAGGGTATTCTCGACCACTGAGGGGGCGGAACGTTGTGGTCCTTGAGAAACGAGGACATCCGAGATGTTCGGGAGTGGAATGCCTCATCCTGGGAGCAGATGCGGCGGAGGCGAAGGAATTGGGAATAGGGGATGGCATTTTTGCAGGAAGGTGGGTGGGAGGAGGTGTATTCTAGGTAGCTGTGGGAGTTGGTAGGCTTGAAATGAATATCGGTTTCCAGATGGTTGCCAGGGATGGAAACAGAGAGGTCCCGGAAGGGGAGAGAGGTGTCAGAGATGGTCCAGGTGAACTTAAGGTTGGGGTGGAAGGTGTTGATGAAGTGGATGAACTGTTCGAGCTCCTCGTGGGAGCACGAGGCGGCGCCGATACAGTCATTGATGTAACGGAGGAAGAGGTGGGGTTTAGGGCCAGCGTAGCTACGGAAGAGGGATTGTTCCACGTGGTTGCGTGCACCAGCAGCAAGAAATGTAGCAAAGATAATGCAACTACATGAAAAGCAAAACAAACTGATGTATTTTGAGACTGACATTAAACTGTCAATTATACTTCCAGGAATCAATCTCAAAGAGCACAGCAGGAAATCTTGCGACACCTGTATTATATGATTAAGCATGCTGAAGAGTAAGCACACAAAAAGAATTGTTGACATAGGCATGAAATTAGTTAATAAAAGATTGACTGTAGTTAAGATGCACAACAAGCTTCCTGTATGCTCTGCAAGAGGGCTCCGTCAATTTGTACCTCAACAATATTGAAACTTGCAATCTGAATAATCTGGCATAAACTCTGATGATGAGAGTATGCACCCTCTGAATTCACAAACATTGATTACCAGTCACAACTTGCAACAATCCAAATAACATACCTCTACCATGAGCACATAACAAATTATTCTAAGTCTCTAGGGTAGATGAACTAAGTGATTTAAAATGTATTCAGATACCACAAGTTCCCAAACTGCCATAAAGGAAATGCATGCACCAAGCTGTACCTGCGGTTGTTGTATCTTTCTCCTTAGCAGCTATCTGCTCTACCTCAGCCCGTGTTCGAAGCTCAAATCTTCTGGCAAACCCCTCTTTGGGTTTCCACAGATCTTGAAGAAGCAGTGGCTTTTCATTATCCCCTAGGGCTCGGAGACACTCTGTCCGCCAGTGTCTGTCTATTCCCTCAAACCTTCCAATCACATCACACAACAGGTACTCAGTGGCAGACTTCCTGCTTACAGCGTAGCGATCAAGGGCTTCTTTAACCAACTCCTGGGCACTCGACCGTGGTGTAGCCAGGACACTTTTGTAGTTTGTGCCACTGCAAATTTCATTGCCAAAGATCTTGAGTATACCAGGAGTCGACAGCTGGATGGAGAGCTCCGAAGGGTCATCCATTACAGCAGTTGGGCTATCAGTCACAGAATGTCGCTCACGGTAACTTAGCTTCCGATACAGAATCTGTGAGAAAGCCCGGCTCTGCCTCTTCAGTTTGTTCTTTGATGCTTGGGACATAGTTGTTGATAACTCGTAAAACATATTGTCAGATAAATGAGATCTGAAACTTAAGAAATACAAAAATAGAGACAGGTGAGCACTGCAGTGTTATCACGGACAATTTTACAGAGTTCATAGATGATTCCCAATCAATTTGATTTGATTGATTTGTGCAATCATCCAAATTATGTCACACATCTTCTCAAATCTTGCAAGATCTAATTCTGCAGTTGCACATAAAGCCATAGCATCTGGATTAGTCTGCAATTTGTGGTCTTGGCTCCACTCCAATATACCATCAAAAATGTATCTAATCAATAAATAGAGAATAATGGGCCAAAACTGTGTTTATCAGCCACAGATGCTTAAGGCTCAGGATGTGTCCAGCCAATGTGCAAAAGTCAAAAGGATCAGTCATCAAACTGTGCAAAGATTATTAAGACAATAAATATTATACAATTAGCAGACCTCACAGAATGTGATGAGCGTCTCTTCTGACCACTGCTGGTGGGCAATGAAAATAAAGAGAATTTCAAAAGAATCATCCAGTTTCCTTCAATTAAAAACTGGAAAGACAGAATTAACTCCAACCTTGTCAGAAGCTATTCCCGATTTCTCTCTCTAGTTCGGGTCTCAGGCTGAACCAGAATGTTCAGCACCCTCTGACCCCTAAAAGAGCTCTTTCCCCTCTCCCCTCTGTCATACAGATCACCTACTTCCATCTCTAAAGCATCATTCACCTCTAACCCCATTTCTTTTATCCATTGCTCAAACTCTCTCATTCATGAATTTGTTATCTCTAGATTTGACTATTCCAACACTCTACTGAATAGCCTCCCCTTTCTCACCCTCCTGTATTCCGTTCCACAAGTCTTTTACTTGTGTTCAATGGCTTTCAGAGAACCAACATCTTGATTTTAAAATTCAAAAACCTTCTTAGTCCTTGCCTCCCTAACTCTATAATCTCTTCTAGTCCTATAACTATGTTCTTACAACTCTGACTTATTGCACAATCATATTCCAGCGTTCTTCAGCCATTTAGATGCAAAGTTCTGAAAATCCCATCCTGAATTGCGATACAGTCACCTCCCTCACCTCCTTTAAAACCTACCTCTTTAACCAAGTTTCTGGTAAAATGGCTTTTGTTCAATGTCAGTTTCGGTCTAGTGCACCATGGAGCACCTTCCTACATCTTATAGGTTCTAAATCCTTGGTATTCCTAATGCATTGGCTCCCTCTGTCTGGACACCTCCCTACACAGGACTGACTACTTAATTCATACCAACACTTTTGTATAGAGGGTCCAGGGAAACAGATATTTGACCGCATGGGGCAATGGTCACAGCAGAATCCACTGCCCTACATATAACTTGTTCATCTTGCTTCAAAATGCTGCAGCAGGCATTGATCCATGGAACATCTTGTGTGGACAAAATATGGTCATCCAGAGGCCTGCACTAACAATTCATAGTTCATAATTCTATTTGGGGGCTTTAGGTTCAGTTAATTAAAATAACTCTGGAATAAAACATAGGGTTCAGAAGTGTTGATATCAAAATATTGGATTGTTGTAAAGACGCAACTCACTTATTCATTTCTTTTACAGAAGGAAATCTGCTGTGCTTACCTGGCCAATGTGTGACTCAAAGCCTACAGTAATGTGGTGGCTCTTAACTGTTTGATCAAATAGCCTAGCTTCAAACTGCAAGGTAAAAACTATAACAAGTAAAATCATCTGGGAAGACCCCCCACCCACCCACCCCCCCCACCCCCCCCACCCCCCGCAATGACCTAGAAACTGGATTTAGGCATGACAAAAGCACACATAGCCCACTCAAGCCTGAAAATTCCTCCTCATATACAACTGAGGACTTCCAAAATTGGGAAGTTGATCCCAGCAGACTGTCAAATAACAGTCTGACCAGCCAACAGATTCCTCCATCATCATGCCTGACCATGATTTGTTGCACTGACAGGGCAGATTGCCACAGGTGGTGGCACAGGTAACATTTGACAGAGTGACAATGAGAGTCCTTAACATTGACTCTGGACATCATTGGCACAGAAACATCTTGCTGATTACTAACTACCAGACTTCATGCAAGCTAGACAGCTGAAGGATCATGTCTGGGAATGTACTGGGACAAATCAGTGAAACTTTCTTCTTTAACAATTCCAAAATTCTGCTATCTTAAGCAAACAGAACTGAGAATGAAGGGCCCTAGTGAAAAAACATAAAATTTAACATGCCTACCAAGTTTCCCAAACTAAACTAGTACCACTTGCCTGTGGTTTGGCCTATATCCCTCTAAACCTTTCCTATCCAAATGTCTTTTAAATGTTGAAACTGTACGTGCATCTACCACTTCCTCTGGCAGTTCATTCCACACAAAAAAAACCTTTGTGTGAAAAAGTTGCCCATACCATTCGAATTGCCACCACTACTGACCTGAAAAGCTTTCCAGAGCAAAGAAAACTCCTCTACTCCTTTGCCAAATAAGAACTAACATTAGTGGTTCTGATAGTTCTGGGGTGTGGGGTAGGGAGATATTAGAAATGGACTTACTTGGCTCTCTTTGCAAACACGTTTCTGATTTGTTTACACGGGTTTCGCATTGACCCACTTTCATAGAAATCATAGCTATTAGCATTGAAGCCTATGTTCATTTCATTAATAATGCAACCCTGGTCATTTAATGTACATCTTGCTAGTCCAATTATAATTCTGGCTCTCTGTTTGTGAAAAAGGCAAAGGCAATTAGAATGGTTTGTTTGTTATTTTAAGGTTAAGTCATAACTATTGAAACTTTTCTGTAAAGATTATCAGAGTTAACAGCAGAATCTTTTACTACTTGTTGTAATGTTTAAATACACATCAGTCTTTCTTCATTAAGTGAAACAATTGCAAGGTCATCAGTCAGCTTGTACAGTATGTTGATGTCTGCTTTCCTCCAAACAAGAAATTAATTAATAATAGATTTACAGCATACCCAATTATAATCTGTCAGAAAAAGTAACTGTTTAAAACAAGATGAGTTTATCACTATATACATACTCCTTCACAATGATAGAAATTTATGGTCACTGAATTTTAAAAGCAAAGCGGTTTGCTTAAGTGCTGTTGTAGCTCACAGTTGATAGTGCATTTTCTTGCTGTTTATACAGTTCAGCTTTTTTGCTTTTACTGTGTCATGTATCTCTGATGTTCTCAGTGCCTTACCCGCTTTCAACAATATCCGTATGGATATTGAACAGTCAATGTCCAATTAAATCAAATTTCCTAGCTCTACATATTTATTCATGGGCTGAAGCGTTTGTTTGGGAACTAGGTAGATTAATTTATACATAGCGCAAATTGCTTGTGAGTATTTCAAAGTACATGATTAACTTTGCATTGAAGGATTTACCATGCTGCAGATAAGAGATGGCATCATTCATGACAGCTGGTTAGGAATAGGTAAGGTGAAATTTGTTAATCAAGTCCTAACTGTAAGCACAATTATACTATCCCTTTAAAAGTTTATTATAAAATGCTGTAATGGTCAAAAAAAAAAGGAGATGCCACCTTCAGAAAAAAATGCCTTGGTTAACAGGTATACCTCGGTGATTCTTTGAATCATTCCATTCGCTATCCAAATTACGACTGGCGAATACAAAGTAGTTCTGCTCATTCTGCAAGTGGAAAAAATAATGTTATTACACTTTAGAAATGGCCACGATTGTGCTTTCAAATTAGCATTAAAACTTAAATACTCGAAGGTAAAATCACAAACTAATGATGTAATATTAAAGTGAACATTTCCACAGCTGGATTTTCATGACTGAGGCCATTTGCTTAAGTCTGGAAATTTCCCAACTTAAAAGCCTTAACAAAAACAGCTGTCACACACAATTTTCATTCTAGGGTGTCGGGTGTGATTGAGTCAGAAGCAGTTTGGACTCAGAGGCAGGCTACCTTGAAGGCCTGTCTTGGTTCTCTTCGACTTTGGTGGAGCTTTACAGAAGTGTGTTGGGCCCTCTAGTCCTTAATCCTCCATGATTACACTCTTTCCCCTTCTACGTACTCATACCTGCATGCCAACTTCATAGTACTCACGCAGTATCCACTATAAGCAGACTTCAGAAGCCACGTGGAGATGGAAAATAAGTAAAATTTACCAAACTAATTGCAGTCTCAGTCATGCATATTTGACAGAGAAAAGAAACTCATCCATGAAACTTATTCAAAGACTGCAAATCCCCAAAAATAGTCAATTTATCATGAAACAAACTTCTATTCAATAACCACAAAAAGATACCTTATGCTTTAAAAGCCTGTTAAAACTATCAATCAAAATAAGAACTACACACACTCCCCCCCTCAACAAGGTATTCTTTTGGGCACTTTGATACTCAGACAAGCAAACTTATTATGTTCATTGTGTTCAGCTACGATAACATTGGTCGGTAAATGACAAAAGTCTATTGAAAATACATAGACAGATGGTAATAGTTTTTCTTTCTAAGCTACACGAAACAGCCTGTCAATTGATGCACTCCAGTGTTTTTACTAATTCTAATCAACAGCTGCAGCCTAGTTTCCTTACTTTTAAAGGGCTGGGGATTTAAATAACTTCAGATCATGATCTTTAAGCAGACCTTACTTATCCTTCAAGAATATTTTATATATCATCCATCTAATCATGAATCCCATACTGCAGGATAAGGCCCTTGGAATAATGAAAATGGGATCAGTTTAAACTTAGCACTATTGGCCAGCTGGTTTGTCCTTCATGCCTGTGAGATTTCACACCTGCCTCTTTTACCACACAGGCAAAGACTCTATCAATTGGTAACAGAACGAGGACTCCCACATCCAAATATCATCCATTTTTAATGCTCTCAGACCAATCTCTATAAAAGGTACTCTCTTATGCCCCTCCCCGCCTTCAAAAAGGAACATACTTGCCTATTTTGTTGCAAAGATCCAACATAGACTAATACAGTACAGAAACAGACCCTTTGCTCCAACTAGTCCAAGCTGACCAAGTTTCCCAAACTAAACTAGTCCCATTTGCCTGCATCGAGACCATATCCCTCTAAATCTTTGCTATTCACACACTGATCCAAATTTTTTTTTAAAATGTTGTCACTGTACCTGCATCGACACTTCCTTTGGCAGTTCATTCCACATACAAACCCTCTGTACAAAAATATTGCCCCTCAGGACTCTTTTAAATCTTTCTCCTCTCACCTTAAAAATATGCCCCCTAGTTTTGAACTCCACCACCCTAGGGAAAGACTTTTGCTATTCACCTTATTTAAGCCCCTCATAATTTTATAAACCTCTATAAGGTCATTCCTCAACCTCTTACACTCCAGTGAAAAAGTTGCAGCCTATCCTTATAACTTAAACTCTTCAGTCCCAGCAACATCCAGGTACTACCTTCTTATAAATTCTGTATGAAGTATTAACAATTTCATCGTGAGGTAAAACTGGAAGCCTGGTCCTATTCTATTGTCAATTCATTCTGGATTTTCTAGTAGCATTTATCAATGGTAATCAAAGGTTTGAAAGTTGATTATTTCTTCTTCCCAGGTCTGGCATTTTCATTTGGAGCTGTGGCCAAATTGGAAGAATGATAATAGTGATAATTTTTTCAGACTCTGTCCACTCCGATTGAATGATTAATAAACCCTTTAATTATGTGACCCAAATTATTTATGTAACGCATAGGTTAAAACGAATAATACGTGGTATTGGCAACAAGTTTACATGTGGGAACGGTTTAAGATGGATTGTCAATAAATGTCTGGCAGACCTAACCTTCTGCAGATGCCACCTCGGCGTTTGGTGGTGAATAGCTTGTTCCCATAAAATCGCTTTCTCTGGAGGTGGTGCATGACCACATAACTGTCCTTCCCTTCTTAAATAACATCGACACAATTAAGTGCATAGAGGCGGAAAAATCTTATCCAAGAAAACACTGCATACTGAGTTTTGCAACATAATGAAGACTTTGGGGATAGAAGCAGCTAAAAAATTGGACGAAATCAGTCCTTTAGTGAAACGCTGCGCGCCTTCCAAATTATTTTTCCCTTTGGTCTGCGGTAAAATCAAAGGGAACAGGACAGCATAAAAGGGCATAAAATCCGCAAGGAATACGGCATTAACTTTTACACCTTTCTCTCTGAGGATGCAGGTTAAAGGCTGCCTCCCATTTCTCTGCAAGTTTTGGAGAGATTGAAGTCGCATTTCCATCTGTTTGAAAGGTTTTGGTAGGCGGTTTCCCATAGCAACGAGCCAAGCCATTGCTCTCCAGCCTCTTCATTCTCCTCTAACTATCCATCTTCTTCTTTCACTCCTGTCACTTTCTTCTTTCCCCACTCCTCCCCTTCAGCTTTTGTCAGACATTCATTACCCCCTCCCCTTCTCTGCCCTCTTTTATTTTCTCCCTCAATCTTTGTATTTTTTAAAAAAATCTGGCGGTACTACATTTATTTTCCACCACTTATTACTTAAAGCCAGACTTTGCATCTTGTCCTCCTTCTAATAACCTCCTGGGGTTTTTTTTTCTCTCTTAGGCCCTCCTAGGTTTTTTTGGGGGGGTGTTCACCCCTTTCTTGCTCCCTGTCAACTACCTGCCCACCCACAAACCCACACTCCCTCCTTACCTCTTTCCTTGTCTTTTTGCTCTCTTTCCTCCCAATGAAACGCGTATTGCGGGTTTTTGTTTTTTTTTCAGTCTCTCAGGTTCATTCCGACCGCCACCCGCCTCTCTCCTTCCCTCAGACCCCAGGTGACCGATTCAAAGCCGGTATCCCGAGCGTTGACGGAAACACCCGAACTGTTCCCGAGTGGCCGCCGTCCTCCCTCAAGCCAGGTGCTGACGGAAAGACCCGAACTCTTCCAGCGCACCGCCGTCGGAACCACCGGCCGGGCGCTGACGGAAAGACCCGAATCTTAACCGAGCGCCCCTTCTTCCACACTGCGTTATCTCTGACTCCAGCATCGGCGGTTCTTACTGTCCCTTCTTCCCACCAGCCGGGGGTTGACGGAAAGACCCGAATTCAGGCAAGATAGTCGCGTTTTCCCATCGGCCAGCAGCGCCATCTACGGGTGAGCTTGGTTCATCGCCGTGTTTCTTTCCAACGAATCAAACGGAGGCCATTCGGTCCGTCGTATTGTACCTGTTGGAAATAATTATCGCATTAACCCCACTCCTTCGTATGTTAATCAAAATTCCATTGTCCTGGTTCCTTCTGACAGTGACTGGCTGGCAACACTCAAAATGTCAGAGTCTTTTCCATATCTTTGCCTACAGTACAGAAGTTATGATATTCACAACACACTTGTCTATACATTCTGATGTCAGGATATCTGGAGTACTGTGAGCAGTTTTGGTTCCCTTATATAAGGAAAAATGTTGTTTCGTTAGTGGCAGTTCAGTGAAGGTTCAGTAGGAAGATCACCAGTATGGAGGGATTGTCGTATGAGCAAAAGTTAAACAGGTTGGGAGTCTACTCATTGGAATTTGGAAGAAAAAGAAGTGGTTTCATTGAAAAGTTAAGATTCTGTGGTTGGTTCGCTCACTGAGCTGGTTCGTTAGTTCACAGATGTTTCATTACCCTGCTGGGTAACATGATGTTCAAGAGATGTTCAAGATAATGACAAATGTAAATATGATAAAGTAAGAAATTATATTCCTATTAGTTGAGGGTTCACAGACTAGAGGACAGAGATTTAAGGTTTTGGACAAGAGATGCAGCGGGATGTGCAGAAGAGCTTTTTTTACAGAACAAATGGTTATGCCCTGGGATTTGCAGTATATGGGGACTGTGAAGGGGCATGGTCAATGATTTCAAAAGGAAATTGAATGGGTGGGAGGAAAATAGGCTTGCAGAGGGCATGATTATTTTATAGAGAGACAGAATGGACTCAATGGCTGAATGGTTTCCTCTTGTGTATATTGGCTGTATAACTCTGTGACCTGGAGCAACAATAAACCACATTTGCATATTACCTTTAATATGTAAAAATTTTCAAAGGCACTTCACAGAGAACAAATCAAAATTAAAATGAAAACGTATCTCTTTTTAGAACCACCTGTAGTGTTTGGTACCCTGTCTCAGATGTTTTGGGTGACTATATTTGTTAAGTTAAATTAAGTTAAATCAACTGAGAAACAGCCCAGTGTTCTGGTCCAGCTCTTGGTCAGACACACAGCCCAGCTCCAGCCACGACTCATTAGCTCAGTTGCCATCAGCCTCCATTACAGCAAACCTTTTATTAACTGGCACCTATGGGACCAGGAGTATACTGGTTGATCAAATATTCTGGATAAACAAGGGGTCCACATAATCAATGTAAAAACACACACAACGTAATAGAAACGTAACTCAGGGGCTATATACATCACTGTTATACTTCATTTACTACATAAAACATAAATAATAATGCAACTTTGCCTTAAATAAAACTTACCAGCAGACAGCTGTCTCACTCACACCCTTAACTGATGACTCAGACATCACAGACATTGTGATAATACAATAGACTTCAGTATTTGAGGTATATACATTTTGCTGGTTTATCAAGACTGCTGGTTCACTGAGGTGCCAGTTAAAGCTGTATTTGGACAGTTTGGCTCCAGGTCCATTTTCTTTTCAACCTAAATTCACAGGATAATGGAAGATGATCTGGTGACTCTCTGGAGATCTGGTGAGGAGAGTTCAGGAGTTGAGCTGAGCTTGTGCACTGTGACCACCAAGTACAGTCTCTAAATGAAATCCCCCAGTGACCCATTGACATTCAACAGTGTTTCTGTCACAGAGGTCCCTGGGGTTACCATTGACCAGAAATTCAACTAGACTCACCACATAAACACTGTGGCTACAGAGCAGGTCAGAGGCTTGGAATACTAATACTGCAGGAAGTAATTCACCTCTTGACTCCTCCAAGCTTGTACACTATCTACAAATCACAAGTTAGGTGTTATAAAGCGGAGGTTGACCCCCTCTGAGAACTAAAAATGAAACACCCAAAGAGGAGCACCTCGCCCCATAATCTGTAAAAAGAGTCTGACAAGTGGTGTAACCTGCCTTTCAGTAACTTCGAGTGGTTAAATAAAATAAATCCCTGACACTCACTTTACAATCAACAAGTAACAATTTATTTATCTAAACTATTAACAAACTGAATAAATCCTTAAATTATTGGCAAAAATCTGTAGCTCGGGTTGTGGATGAGGTTGTTGACTTGCTCTCCAAGCTGGCTTGTTTTTGTTCCGATGTTTCATCACCATGCTCGGTGACATCATCAGTGGAGCCTCCGATGAAGTGGTTTAATTCTACTCAGCTTGGAATTTATACTTTCCGGTCCATTATGGTGAGTACTGTCATTTCCGGTTTTGATCTGTATGGGTTTGTATATGGGGTCCAATTCTATACGTACATTCAGGCAACGAAGGCCATCAGTTTAACTGGGACAAAGTAAACATAGTAGCCCAAGCCAAACATAGACACACACGGGAATTCCTAGAGGCATGGTTCTCAACCCATACTTCAATCAACAAACATATAGAATTGGACCCCATATACAAACCCATACAGATCAAAACCAGAAATGACAGTACTCACCATAACGGCCCGGACAGTAGAAATTCCAAGTGGAGTAGAATAACATCGCTTCATCAGAGGCTCCACTGATGATGTCACCTAGCGTGGTGACGAAACGTCTGAACAAAAACAAGCCAGCTTGGTGAGCAAGTCAACAACCTCACTGAATAAATCCTTTCCAACTACTAACTATTGCCAAATAAAGCAAGATTTTAATGGTCTGCTGTTCCAATAAATACAAATCCCACATATATAAAAAAAATTTAGTCTCTTGAAATTATAGCCAGTTTTTGTGTCTTCTGGAATGTTCTGTGCATTATCTGTCATTCTTCTGTCAGGAATATTAATTAGTTCTGCTGTTGGTACTATTGTTATTTAGATGGTGCTTTATCTAAGACATAGAGGAGGTTGTGAGAACTAGTGATTCTCTGTTGAGAGTTGAGGGCCGTTAGTTCTGGCAGATGGCAGCTAGTTCCAGGATCTTTATTGAACTTTCCCCTTCTTTTTATACCCTTCATGACATATCAATATTTCTTACAATAGGATTTGTCCTATGTTGTCAAAACCATCAGACTTAAATTTAGAGATAGTAGGAACTGCAGATGCTGGAAAATCTGAGATAACAAGGTGTAGAGCTGGATGAACACAGCAGGCCAAGCAGCATCAGAGGGGCAGGAAGGCTGACGCTTCAGGCCTAGACCCTTCATCAGAAATTTAATAGGTTTTCGGTACCTAAGTACCTGGTTCAAATTGATTGGCTAAATTTAAAAGCCTATTGTCTTAGTATAAACTGCTGCTTGGCCTGCTAACTGTATAGCCTTTTGATACAAATGTCTCAATTTGGGTGCTCTCTGTGTACTTGCAAACTTTCAAGCTGCTGCTCACAGACATCAACTTTAAATCTGTAAGCACAGAAAAAGCACATCATCTTTTAAAGGGACCATACAATGCTTTCCTCCCAAACATTTTACAAACACTAAATTCTAACTTCCTGCCTCCCAATCCACAAGTACTCTACCCAACTTCACAATACAGGAGTGTGATGGAATACTCCCCACTTGCCTGAATAAGTGCAGCTTCAATAACACTCAAGAAGCTTGTCATCATCCAGAACAAAACAGCATCCTTGACTGGCACCATATCCACAAATGTCTCGCTGACATTCAGTGCACACCACTGCTACTATCTACAAGATGTACTGCAGAAATCCACCAAGATCCTTAACACAGCACCTTCCAAGCCCATGACCACTTCCATCTAGAAGGACAAGGGCAGCAGATATAAGGGAACACTACCACCTAAAAAGTTCCCCTCTAAGTCACTCGCCATCCTGACTTGTAAATGTATCACCATTCCTTCACTGTTGCTAGAACAAAATCCTGGCCTCCCTTTTAATCAGCATTGTGGATCTATCTACAGCAAGTGGACTGATTCAAGAAGGCAGCTCACCACCACCTTCTCAATGGCAACCAGGGACAGATAATAAATGATGGCGCAGTCAGCATTGCCCTAATCCCACAAGTGAATTTTTTAAAACTGACATCCTACCACTTTGTTAACCAATCACTGGATAACTCAGTGCCACATGAACCCTGATTTGAATCCATCTTGCTGTCAATAGTTAGGGCATTCCTTTGGGAATGGGTTTGTAAAACAGTGGGTTCTCCTAGGACATTGTTTTCTGGGTGTGCAGTACCTTATCTGGGGACTTCTGGATTTCCCCATTTTACTTGGGTCACCACAAGGCTGGTTAATCACCCTTCACCAACTTTTTCTGCCAGTCAGCCACTCCTCTTCCAATCCTGCAAAACTTAAATCTCTCGTCATCGCAACTTACCATTTTCCCAAGGCTTCTTTTTCTTCTTTCTGGCAATTCCACCTCCCCTCAACACCTGTCCCTTTATCTCCACAGCAGATGACCACACCATTTCAATCTCTTCTCAGTTGCATTCTTTGATGCTTCTACAGTTTTCCCTGACTTCCTAATGTAGAGATTTATTATCATGTCCTTTCTTATGCTCTAACACATCCCATTCGGCTTGTCATTAATTCCCAGTTTCCAGGCTGTGGCATTAAGTTCAGAAACAGCATTTTTTTTGTCCTTGAAATGTCCCTATAAAGTGCTCTGGAATGTCCAAAGGATGCAAAAGGTGCTTCACAAATGCAAAATCTTTCTTCCCAACTCTGCTGTTTTGGCTGTGAAAGTAGAATAATTTTCTGTAACT